TGTGTGTGTGTGTGTGTGTGTGTGTGTGTGTGTGTATGAGAGAGAGGAGGGGAAGGGAGGCTTGTCTCAATAAATATTTGTACGTGGTGGCTGAGCAGATTTCTTCCACATGCTTACTTGATGCAAGAGCCGGTGCCTGCAGCCATGCCACGTGGTGCTGGGAGCCAGTCGGCTCTGACACGCAAGGCCAGGTTAGGCCATGTCAGGATTTGGCTGGGAGACCTCCAGGAAGAAAATGAGAAGGCTCAGCTATACAGGTGGCAGTTTGGGATGTTCAATAGGAGTGCTGGCTCTCCTTCCAGATCCCTACCTGAAAGGAGCACTATGTTATTTGGAGGCACATCCTTTTGGGAGGGTCATAAAACCAAGGTCCTGATCAGTTGTGGTCACTAAATATATTTTTGTTAGAGTCCCTGTGGTCCCAGTTCTTGGCTAAAGTCCATCCCAGGTAATTACATTCAGCCTATTTAATTTTCCCCTGCAGCTGTAATTGGATGCAGCATTCCTGTTGTGTAGTGTCGCTGTTTTTTTGGGTACAGAGCTGCTGCGTTTTACGCAACAGCTGCATTTCATTGGTGGGGAAAGGATCTTCCCCCAGCCCTTACCTATGTTTCATGGATGAAAAGCAATGTAATTATAGTAATGTGTGCAAGTGCTTTGAGATCCTTAGCTGAAAGGTGCTGGAAAGGGCTGCTCTTACTATTATTTCCTGGAAACACATGGCAGATGGATGGGAAATCCCACTTCTGAATCTTCCCCACTGTCTCCCTAATAAGTATATGTAGCTTGTAAAGGGAAAGTGTTACTGTTTTTAACTGTATTCCTGTGCTATGTTGAGGCACCAGCTGAGATGAGGACTTCAGTGTGCCAGGTGCTGAACTTGAGATATGCTGGCATGTGCTCCCAGCCCCGTGGAGCTTAAAGTCAACATGGACAAGACAGAGCATAGAAAGGGAAGTGTCAGGGTCATGAAAGTGACACACAGAGAAAGCGTATCTTACCGGAGATGACTTAAAGAATGTATGAATCAGACAAGATACCAGGTCAGTTCCTGAACCCCCAAAGCACCCATCCTCATGCTATGTTGCTGTTGTGGTAAATGAGCTAGAATTCATGTCTGGATCAATAAGGGCAACAAGAATGCTTCTTGCTGAATGTAGATAAGGCCTAAATCATTGGCCCCCACATATTATTCGCTCACAGACATCTGAGGTCACCTCCATGTTTAGTGCTGCCACTCTGTAACTTCTGTGCTGGTGTTATGTGTGGGATTCAATCAGAGATGGCCTTGAAAAAGGACAGGAAGGGACACAGCCAAGTGAAAAGGGTTTGAAAGAAAAATTGGGGAGGGGCATCTGAGCTCTCCCACTCTCTTCCATTGTGTGCTAGCATCATGGCATGTGCATCTGGTATGCAGACCTCTCCTCTTTAGGTGTGAGTCCATTGCTCAAGCATTCTTTCCAGGAGCTGGACACATATATGAATGCACACTGTGCATGTATGAGTCTTTCTGAGCATGTGGTTGAAGTGCAAGCAGCAGGTTGGCCCAGGGACTGAAGGGGATTGCCTGGGACTTGGATGATCCATTCATGTCTGGGCTTTAATCTGCTTCCCAAGGCTTTGGCTGCACAGCAAGCTCTGCAAGAGTTGCCAAAGTGTATAAAAATACTCAGATCTTACCCTCCCACACTCACCCCAACAGGTATTTCCCAAAGGTTGGCCTGAGAGCAGTGTGTGCATGGGGGGTTGTGTGTGGATCAGATTGCAGAGGTGATAGTATATGTGAGTATTGTGTTCTGCTATTAATTCACCCGTCTAAATGGTTAGAGGTTCCCCTGTGGATGTCCTTGGCTGTAAGGTAGCCTACAAAACGGGCTTTCTTCATTCCCTCCTGCATTTCCACCTCATTTCTGGGAAGAACTACCCGTTAGTGCTTGGCTTGAAGCAAGCATGCTTTCATTAGAGGTAAGGAGGAGTCATGTTACAAATTTTGTAAAGTAAACCTAAGTCTCTGGGGAGTCCTATGCTTGCATGTGGGGGCTGACCTCCATGAAGCAAATCCCTTCTGGCACTGTTTGTGTCTGGGCTTGAGGCTGCGAATTCTGCTGCAAATATCTCTGGCAGGGCTGGGGTCTTCACTGTGTTCTTGTTCCAGGGTGCCTTTTAAGCTGGTCAGATGAGCGCAGCCACCTCCTTATCTCAGTTTCACTCAGCCACATGAAGCAGTTCCAGGGAACTCTGACTTACAAGGGCCAGTGAGCTCCAGGGTGTCAGGGATGCCTGGTGGAGATGTAAAAAGTAGATACCCAACTAGTGGCATTTTATGGCCCAATCCTGAGAGATGCTGAGCACCTACAACTTCCATGGGCAACTGAAGAAATTCAGCACCTAAGCTATTATTTCCTAATGAAAAGCTTAGAAAAGAAAAAGTTCTGCTGTGGCTTCTCAGTGGGGATGTATTCCCCCCTAAAATCAGTGGAGCTACACCAGCACAGATCCACTGAGAATTTGGCTCAGTGCTCTTAAAGAGACACTCTCAGGGGGAAAAACATCATATATTAGAAAGATTTTTTTACATATTTTGCTACTTAGGTGATTAAATATGTTCCTTATTTTACCATTTATACCATTTAGTTATCTTAATGTTTGTACAACACTTTAATGCCACAGCTTTTGTTATCTTGTCTCTGTCTCCTCCACAGCAGTACCCAGAGTACCAGTGGGGAGCACAGCAGCTGCCTGCCACTGCAGCTCGATCATGCCGCCATCGTGAACTGCACATCCAGTGCCCCGGGACATATGAAGTGTGCTGTTACCTGTGAAATGGGATTTGCCCTCCATTCCAGCAGTGGAAAGGGTTTGAGTCCCATGCAGGTGAGTTGATAGTTGGGTGCAAGTAGAACCCCCCATGAGATGTATCTGAGCAACTGCTGGTTAAGGCAGACTTGTATGGAGCTCACATTGGGTTGGTCATGAGTACCATGTTGCTCTGCCTGTAAGATTTGGTCCTTACCCCTGTCATATTCTCAGTGCTGGTCCACCATTCACAGCAATACTAGGGCCCCTTCCCATTCCAGTCCTGGGTCCTGGCAGGTTAACCAGCCTGGGACCTGTTCTGCACAGTGTTTGCCCGTCATACTGAACTGAAAGGTGCTTTTGTGATGCAAAGAAATATCTGAAGTTCTTCTGTGGTGATTGATGGTAAAGAAAAACATTTCAGGAATCTCTTTTCTGGAATACGTTAAGTAGAGACTCACCTGTTATGGGGCAGATCCTACAGGGTCACAACTTGATCTCATTTCTGCTGGAATGCAGAAGAGAAGTGCCTCAGAAATCCTTCACTGTTGCTTCTTCCTGATGGTGCTGTCTTGGATGGGGGCTGAAGTGAGCAAGAAGGGGAGGAAACCATCCCCTCAAAGTACTGTCTTCCTGGGGCCCTTCTTTTCCGCTGTAGGCTTCACTACCTTTGGCAAGCTGTTTCAGGTCACATTTAGTGCGTGAGTGTTTTGGTAAGGTAGGTGGGATGCTTGGGGGGAATCTCTCCCCCTTTATACAGCCTTCTCAGCCCATCCGAATGCCACCCAGCTTTTTCCTGTGCTCAAAATACCCCTTGTATCTGCACAGTGGAATTATCATGGGTGATCCCAGGAGGTATGAGGGCCCAAGACCTCAGTCACTGCCACATTTTGCCACTGTAAGTGCATTCAGTCCCATAATGCTGATTTACCTTAGCTGAAAATATGGCCCTTTGTCAATAGATGGGCCTAAGTTTAAAACTGGAGTAACAATGGTTTAGAGCTTTAAGATTTTAATCTCACAGCATAACAGGCTCAATATTTCTTGTGATCATCTTTTCTATCTATGCTGTTTATATACCCCTCATAACCACAGTGCCCGATCACCTCACACTGACAACATTTATGTCTGTGAGGTAGGAAGGATATACAAATAGCTAATACAAAGGTGAGCCCTGAAAAAGCTGTTTTCTTTATTTCAGTACGTTGGGTCTGACTAATGGATTAAGTCTTCCCATACAGCATTTGCAAACTCAGTTTGTTAGATAAAAGGATTTCTATCCAGAAAGAAATCCAAAAGAAACTGGAGGGTTTTGCAATTAGGCAGTGGGCTGCTAATTTCCCACTTATGGTATAGAAACAGATCTGGGATCATAGAAACAGACTGAACAAGTGACCTAGAGCTGCAGAGGCAATGGTTAGAATACCTTAAGGTCTCTGACATGTTTTCAGTTTTAAAGATAAAGGTCATTTCATTGTTATTGATTAGAGAAAAAATAGGTTATAAGTGAGATAACTGGCAGGGGTATGGAGTCTTTTCTTCCCTTCTAGCTCACTAGTTCTAACACAGTCCAGCTCAGTAGTGTCCTACAAGTCAATATGAAAAGAAGTTAGGCCCAGTTCATAGAAGGCAAGGATGTGCATCAGAAAAATGCACAAGGATGTGCATCACTGGAGCTGGCCCCATTGTTAGCTATCTCAACAGGGAGACCACAGTCTGAATAGCTTCTGGGGATGAAACTTTCCTTGAAATGAACCATGAAGGTCTCAGTAGAGTCATTTTGGCAAGGTGCATAGTACAGTCTGTACTGTCCCTTCTCTGTTACTAGAGAAAGGGTACACATTTCTGAGGCTGTCTGTCTGGCTCCTGTAATGAGTGCTGAACAGGAGAGCAAAAGCTGAAGCAAGGTAGAGAAAGATGTAGGTATAAGGAGAATTAAGGGAAAGCTTCCCTGAGGCTGAAAGTAGGCCAGACCTGGAAGGGACACTACCAAGACTGCATCTGTGAATGTGCTTACCTACAGGTTAGATGGACACTGAGAGGAGAGGAACATTACAGTGCAAAGATTAGTCAGGCAGCTGGATGGATTTAGATGGGCCATTTGGCCCCTGTTTCTCCCAGAAGGTTATTAATCATGTGGCTGCCCAGCTAATCCCAAGGCAGATGTGATTGGACAGCAGGTCCTGTAACACACTCTGATGTGTTCTCAACCAAAACATAATGTTCTTTTTGCTTCTAAAATGAGGCCGCACAAAAAAATCTGCCTAGTGTGAGTTTTCTACATTTGGCAGTTGAATGGGAAATATCTAGGCAGAGCTGGGTCTGTGGCTGCAACAGTTGATGGTAGGTTACAGGTGCCCCTCTGCAGTGGCCCTGGCACTGGCTTTCTAAAGTGTCATAGGACAGTGTCACCCATGAAGGCTCTAGTATGGTATGAGTCCTTGTGAGATGAAGACAGTAAGTTTAACTTGGGTCTTATCTACAGTGCAGATATATTCATAGTTTCTTAGCCCTGGTAGTATAATGGATGAGGTCCTGGATTTGAGACACATTCAAGGTGAAAATGTGGATTGAGTGGTTTGTGGCCTTACATTGCAACACAAGATATTTAGATTAGATTTTAGTAAGACTTTTCTAAGTATGAAGGTAGTTAAGCACTGACTCATTGTCTAGAGAGAATGTGGAAGCTTCAACCTTGGAAGCTTTTAAGTTCATGTTAGGCAAATATTTACCAGGGATGTTATAGGCAATGATGATCCTAGTTTGAGCAAGGATTGGTTTAAATAGCCTCCTGTGGTCTCTTCCAGCCCTATTTTTCTGTGGTTCTGTGATCTGCACCATCAGGCTCATGGTTAAAGCTAGTGCAGCTCATCACGTTCATATTCTTTTCCAGGTAGTTCCCATGTTGGTCTATATGAATGATTCTCAACAAGGGTGCCACAGCCCCCTGGAGTGCTTTGAGATCCTTTCAAGTATGCTACAGGGTGCTATCTATGCACATTGGTGCCATGCAGATTGGGATATGCTCCACTGCAGTGTCTATAAAAACAACATTGTTGAGAAACTCAGTTACCATAGGCTCAGCCCATCATTACACTGTAAGCATGTTGAACCCTAATTTATTCTACTGTAGATAACTCTTACATTGTCTGCATGGCCCATTGTGCCATACAGAGCTTCACATCTATTGGCATCCTAGAGATGGCAACATGAACATATACGCTTTACCTAGAAGCAGGACTCATTTGAGCATGATATTCTAATGGGAGAAGTACAACTGAAAACTCTTTGAAACCCATGCCAGCCTTTCTGGTGATGTGGTAACTTTAGTCTAAACCCATTCACAGAAATCAGAAACAGCCATGTTTTCTCTTTAGAAAGAGGTTCTGCTGACATGTAACTCGGGACAGTGGGACAGATCTGTGACCTGTGATCCTGTTGGCTGCGGAGTTCCTGACCAATCGCTTGTGTACTATGCTGAGTTTTCCTGCCCTGAAGGGACCACATACCTGAAGCAATGCTCCTTCTCCTGCGTCAAGCCAGCTAAGCTTCAAGGTATGGGATTATCTGCATAGGAATTTAATCCTGATTTTGGTACCACATGCATCTGTCCAGTTTCTTTCTCAGTCAAGTCTTTCTCTTCTTGTCCCTATTGGTGTTATCCTGACACTGCCAGCCAAACAGAGTCTAGGTTTGTGAAGTCTCCTGGGAAGCAGTGCACCATCCAGCTCCATATATACTATGAGCCCAACACTCTGCAGATATTCACAACCACCCACTGGGCATTTCCTGCCTGCTACCTCAAATTGCAGGCACATACCTCCTGTATCTTTATGAAACCCTAGCCACCTCTGTTAGCCCCAGGACAGTGATCTAGAAAGTTGAGAAATAGTACACCAGTGCAGTTGGCCAAACAGGGATCGGGGGGGGTTCTACTGAAAGCAGTCAGGATTATGGATGGGAAATCAAAAAATGTCACTGAGGTATGTTGATCTATGGAACTGGACTGGGTGTTGTCACAGAGACCTCAGACCCTAACTACAGCCTGGTGTCCCCTACCACTCCGTGTCCTCCTACCAAAGCCATCAATAGCTACAGCTGTGGTTTTAAGCCAAATTAGAGAAAAAGACCTACTGTTATTGTCTACCCAGGACTCAGCTGGACGGGATTTGGGGCTAATTACTTGCACAATGCCAAACATTGGGGCTTGGTGTGAGTTTCCACTAGCCTATTCTCTAACAGTCTCATACAACAAATCATTTTAATGGGTGTCCCATTTATGGAGACATTTATAGTTGAAATGTAAGAGAATTGCTCACCTGTTTCATCAAAGGCGCACAATGCTGTAAATTAAGTTTGATTTCATGACAGCAGGCATGTCTGCAGATCCCAGCAAGAACTGATCAAAGCATTGTGTGTAAGCGCCATAGCCCTACTGTTTGACAGGCCAAATTCTGAATTGCACAGTACCATCACATTCAGGGGAGCTGACAGTTGCAAAGAAGGGTGGGAACTCCATTTGTTAAATCATCTGTGTGTCCTGGAGTTCACTAACAGCCTGATCTTGCTCCTGCTGAAGTCAATGGGAGTTTTGCCTCTGGCTTCCTTGGTAAAGGAGCTGGCATATATGCAGAAGTTGCTTCCAGGGTCTGAAATGATTCCTGAGGATGTTAATTCAAGTCTGTTGAACCTAGCAGAGAAAGTCAGAGGGTCCAGTTGATGTCACTGAGCCACTGGGGCAGGAAATTCCCTGATTCTTGTTCTCTTTGGAGACAAACTGAGTTCTCTCCACTACATACAGGCTTTACAAGTACACATTTGGTGACTGGGGCTTAGTTGCCTGTTGTGGTAACAGTGCGCCAGCAAGAGCAAATTCCTATTTACTTCTTATGCTGTGTACACTCTGGAAGGCCAACAGCTGGGTTTTGTCCAACACAGTTATCAGATCAGACAGTGTAAAAAGGTGATGTAAGGATGTACTGTTTTTCCAGTTGCTTTTCTGAATATTCCTATCTATCTGTCAGAGGAATGTCTAAAATACTGGTCTCTGCAAAGCACTGACAGAACCCTGATGCATAGCTATGTCATTATTAATTAGTAATAACTAATTATTATTAATTGCATAACACCCAAAGGCCCCAGTTGAGTGTCACTGGCCCATTGCAGTAAATAAACATGTCAGCATAACAGAGAGATAATTTCTATTGGAGACCGTTTACATCTTAAGCCCAAGATAAGGTACAAATGAAAGATCTGGGAAAGAGTGAGGAAACAATGAGATGACTGGGATGAGTGTGGTAAGCAGCAGTTATAGCATGCTAGCATCATCAAGTTTTGTTATAAGCATCAGAGCCAGAGAGGGGGTTAAGGGAGTGGAGGTTGAACAAAGTTTGAGGAGCTCATCAAGTTACTTTGCAGAGAGGCTTGCTTCATGCTTTAGGTGCTGCTTTTTTAACTTACCTCTGGGCTCAAGCAGTCAATTAAGGACTGGACCACATGTCCAGTGAAGTCAGTGGTTTTGTTTCCATAGACTTCACTGGCTTCAGCATCAGGCTCTGAGAGCAACTTTTGCAAGTTACCAGGCTTCTAGAGATGCATTTGTTGCCTGTAGCCCTGATGTAGCCATCCTGCATTTTGAGCACACTCTGCTTCTCTCTCTTGGAGCTAGGAATGAGTCAATGGCTGACCTGCCTTGAGGATGGACTCTGGTCACTCCCAGAAGCCTACTGCAAGCTGGAATGTGATGCTCCTCATGTAGCTGCCAATGCCAAGCTGCTGGTCAATCGATGCCTGCAAGGGAACCATGATGTTGGTTCTGTCTGCCGCTATAGGTGTAAACCTGGATACCACGTGGCAGGGAGCATGGCAGGCAAACCCAGGAAGTAAGTGTGAAACTTTCCTGTCTCAGCAGTTTTGCCCATGTTTCTCTCATCCCCTTCACATGTGTTTCCTCACTTCTGATGCTTCATTTCTGATGCTTACCATAGCAGTCACCAAAGGGGATAGGATATTTGCACACTGGCTTAGGAGCTTAACTGTGTGCAGTTCACAGATTTTTTTTCCTGGTGTTCATGTGCATGTGCATGTACGTACACACACACACACACACACACACACACACACACACACACACACACACACACACCATAAAGAACCCCCCTCCCCCAATGAAGCATGTGTATTTGCAACTGAGCTGGTGGAAGAAAGGTGTAATAGCTCCTTGTGCACCCCTTCTGCCCCCCACCCTGCAATGTTGTACAGTCGATCACACTTGTGTAGTTGACATCATCATCATCAGATCTCAGGACCTAAGTATGGTTAGACTGGATTTGGACTCATATAGGAGACATCAAAAAAACAGCAAGAATTTCTCTCCACTATACACCCAGCACTGCTAGGGGCATCTGCTCCCAGCTGCATGCAGTAAACCCAGAAATGCAGTGGTGAAGCTGATCTGGGAGCACTGCCAGCAGTTGCCTTCCAGAGTTCTGCCTACGTTGTTTCATAGTTTCAAAGTTTCTAGGGTCAGAAGGGACCTGAGTAGATCATCTAGTCCGACCCCCTGCCATGGCAGGAAAGGGTACTGGGGTCAAACGACAAATTCTGTTGTGTTTGAGTGCAGTAATGACATGCAAGTGAATGAAAGCATACTTGAAAGTGGAAGCACCTAGCCCTGGGGATGTGGTGTAGACTTACCTTCAGCGTCTTCCTGAAGTCACTATGGTGATTCCATAGATGATACCTTCCCTCATGGCCACCTATCCTGCATGCACTTCACTTGTGGTTAGTTCTGTTGAATTCAATGAGACAGTTCACTTGCTTAAAGTTAAGAATGTATGCATGTGTTTGGAGACTCCTGGCTTTCATCAGTACACAGCTAATGATCTAGCCTGAAACATTGTGTGGTTGAAGTGGTTGTCTTTCACTTGAGTAGTAAACACTCACTTTTGAGCGTTTGTGGTCATGAAAGATCAAGTAGTGGTTTTCCCTGGAGGTGGCAGGTTCACCCTCATATCCGAGTTAAATTTCAACTCAGACAGTTGTATGTTCTTTGGGGAAAATATTCTCCAGAGTGGGAGAAGGTAGTGGTGATTCAGTGGCACTGATCTCTGAACTAGACCATTACCATGACATTAAAGGATTCTGCAGTGTCTTTTTGTGTGGCATCATCAGCTGAAGTCCTGGCCAGTTCTAGTCACTGGAAACTTCAAGGCAGCTTTTGTATTCTCCCCAGTTTCAAATCAGGTAAGTACACTCTAATTGTTTAATTTCCTGTCCAGTTTAAATTGAATGCAACTTTCATCTTTCCTTCCTCCTCTTACTTAGATAACAGTGTTTCTGTGCACTGTGAAGAGTGGCCATATTTACCACCCTATAGTGGATTAATTGGTTCTTGTACACACTTTACAAAGTGTTAGTAAGTGGCCTCAGGCTGCAAGGACCTAGACTAAAGTGCAATCAGTATTGTAAGGAGTAATTGCTTACAAACCACTTTGCATACCATGTGATTTAGGCCTGGCTTTCTCAGGATGCAATTTGATTAACGTTATTGTTAATTTTAGATATTATCATCATCACCATGATTATACGTAGAAGCTCAGGTCACAGACCAGAGTCCTATTGTACTAGATGCTGTATAAAACCAGAACAAAAACATGGGCCCTTTGTTACCGTTAACATAAATTAATATATGGAGGTCCTCATCCACACTCCATTAATGTCAATAGGATCCCTTACTTGTATGATTATGTCTTGGTTTATGAATCAGTGTTGGAAGCACCTCAAGTGTCATCTAGAGGTTACTAATTCATTAATCAGTCATACCTCTAAGCCATCTGCAATCAGTAGAACATGTTGCCTTATACCCACAATATAAACTGCTCAGACCTGCTTATCTATGCACAGTACATACTGTATGCTCCCATAAAGGCACTGACTCTAGCTGTTAAGGAGCTTTCCTACCATTATGTCAAGACTCTTCTTGAATTATGAGATGAGCTGGGTGGAGGGCACCAAACTTAACTGGTTGTAGCAATAGTGAGGAGTGAAGGGGCTTGGGGCCCAGGGAAGGCCCCTAGGGATTCTAATGGCGGGATGGCAGTGTTGGGTCTCAGTGTAACTCACTAGAATGAGGCTTTGGGCATCTGAAGGTTTTGCAAACCTACTGAGCTCTCTTTGCAACGTAAGTTTGAGTGGCCATTCATTTCATACTAGCAGGACCTGGGCAGAACATGTTGTAGTGCAGGTCTATCCCTCCAGCTCTTGCCATGCCACTTCCACAGTCTGGAACTCTTGTCCCTCACAGGACCTGGTTGGGCTGGCCACAGTGTGATCATCACTACACACAAGGACTTTAGTGAGGGTCCTGCTATTTTCAAGGTGATTCATTTTAAATGAAGGTTGTTGTGTTAACTGTAGATCTGGGGTTGTACAAATAGGTGGTCTTTAGGTGCTGTATTGTTGTGTTTATGCATTCGGTAGTTCTTATTCTTTCTATAATCCACTTTCACTGTCTTATTTATATATGACAATAGCACTAAAAGCTCCCAGTCAGGATCTGGGGCATGACTATGCTAGGTACTGTACATACACATTAAGAGTCTCTTCCCCAAACAAGTTATCATTTAGGGTACAAACAGAAGTGACATTTTTCATGAGATCTGGCCCCTGAAAATGCCTTACAGCCATGACCTAACACACATGCACAGGTGCAGAGCACTTCTAAAATGGCCAACCATGCAAAAAATTAACCCTATTCTAATCAGGTAATAGATTATGGCACTGTGCTTTAGTGCATCTATGGGAACTTGTGTTACCTCAAGGGTTAATTTTCACTTAGGGGCAGATTTGTCAGTGGAGGAGTGAAGGGAGCAGCAGCAGCTGTGGGGCTGCTACGCCCAGCCTGAGCTGGAGGGGGGTAGAACAGAGCCCCCTCACCTGGAAAGCCCAGTCCCAGCTCCCTCCAGTACCCTTGTTGGGGGCCTCAAGGCAAGGGGCTCTATTTCTCTCCACCACCAGCTCAGGTCCAGCATAGCACCCCTGCAGCTGCTGCTGCTCCCTAAATTTCCTCTCCGCTGACAACCCCAGACTGGGAGGCGGGGACGGGGCTGGGAAGAGGGATGGTCCTGGCCAGCGCTCCTGCCTGCTGGCCAAAAGGGCTGGTGCAGGCAGGCTCAATTCCCCTCTGACCCAACAAGCAAACTTCTGTTGGGTTAGGGGGTGCTCTAACTCATAATGTTTTCTGTAAAGCACCATGAGTTAGAGCAGGGCCTTGAATGTCTGTCAGTTCTCTTAAAGAGACAATTGATCAGGCCGACAAATGAAGCACTATAGTTTTAAAGATTTTCAGGGGTCTAGAGATACAGATATGAACTTGATGATCATCTCTAGGCCCCTACATACTTTCAGCAATCTGGCCTGAAGTGACTTAACCAAGGTCATACAAAGGGACCTGTGATATGCTCCCTTCAAACCCTACCTCTTCCCTTCCTCCAACCAATTACCCATCCCATTTTTCTGAACTCCACTGTTTTGTCACTTATTGTCTCAGACTTGGATACTGCTCCAGTTGTGTTGTAATTCCCTCTGCTCTGTTTGTTTGTTTATAATTGATTTTTTACGGGCGGGAATGCAATTACACAAAGATTTGTTTTTAAATATGTACACAAATTCTTTCTCCTAATCTCCTTATTATGTGTCCTCGAATTCCCTAATGAAGCTGCTATGGCTGATTACCCTAAGGTGGAATGTAATTAGGTAGTAATGATGCTGTGTATAGATAGAATTGCTGTGTGCAGAATGGGGGGATACAGGTTGCAATGCCAGTGTTCATTTAGCATTTCCCAGTGTTAGTACGTTTCCCTTCTAATAATAATGACATATGAACCCTGATGACCTTAATTTTCATAGATTTCATAGACATTAGGGCTGGAAAGGACCTCGCAAGATCATCTGGTCCAGCCCCCCTTCCAAAGGGCTGGAAGTCAGCTGCGGTCAGATGACCCCCAACAAGTTAATCATCCAAACGCCTAAAGAGTTTCCAGTGCTGCTAACACTGGTGCCAGTAAACAGCTGTTATCCACATTAAGAGTCCTGTAGTAGAAAGGCCTCCAGCTACCAACATCATTTCAGCACTACACTATCAGATGAGTCTGACTGACTAACTGAAAGAAGCAGGGTGGTTTGTTGACACTTTGTATTAGGGCAACTGTATGGTTGGGACGGATGGTAGACAAGCTTCTGGGCAGCCTTACAGTCAGTCCAGTAAAAGATATCACCAAAAAAACCTGGCTTCCTGGATATTTCCTGGACCATCTTGGCTACAATAACAATCTGACCCAGTTACATATCTGATTGACCAGGATTTTAAAAAAATGCCATGGCTATAAGAGCCTACACTAGCACTTGCACCTTTAGGCTATGTCTGCCCTTCCCTCTCTAGTGTTGTACAGAGTACCACAAGCAGTGTACCTACATGAATGTACTGCTCTTAATTATATATTCTACTTAATTATGTACTCAATTTAATTATATACTGTACATAATTATATATTACACTCTTAGCAGGGCTAACTAACCTGGTGGAGCGCTCCTCGAAGGCAGCTATGCTGCTCCTGATATGCAAGATAGCTTGGGTATCTCTGCAAGGCTTGACCATGCTATATGTAGATAGGCCCTCATTTACAACAGTTCATCTGTAGCATAGGGGAAGTTGTTAGAAAATGGCTGTACTATACCAGCCTGCCTTCTCCTTGCTGCCAAGAGCCTGCTCAAAAGAAGTGAACTTTACCAGAATGCTGTGGAGGCCTCCGGATTCAGAGAATGAACGATCTGCAGGCAGAAGCCCTCTGCTGGGTTTGCCCCATTCCTGTAGAGCTCTGAT